GTGAGCGTTCATTCATGAAGACAATTAAAAAGGCAAATTAAGCAGGGAAATGGTAGATGAGTTTTATAGCAATAAATCTGTCTAGAAATGCGAAAATCTCGACAAATTTGAGTTAACAAGGAAATTTAAAGGGGATTTCTATGGGAAATAATGGGTGTAGGTGAGTTTGAGGGGAATTAGCCCAGGTGTGGATTAACCAAAAGTTTTGAAAGACAATTTCGTAGGTAAATTTAGCCAGGAAATGGTGGTCATTATCTTGAAATTAATATGTGGAATTAACCTAACATGAAATTCAGGCGAATCCCACTTAATCATATAAATCTCTTAAGGGAAGGAAATATTTGGCCTTAACTACGGATATTTCCTTTCATTTCTGGCTAAATTATATATGGGATTCTTTGTCCATTTCACTGCTGACATTTCCCTAAATTCGCATATTTATTTCGCCCTTACATCGGGCGAGGGAACTTTACGAGGGTCATAAACTCAACTCCGCACAATTAGCTTCATCTGCATAATGGTCATATTTTATGCGAGTGAATGGAGTGTTAGCCAAGGGGGTCTTGGTCTGGGCTCTTTGCATTTATTTGCTTCGCTCCAGTTATTCCCCATCATAGACATCAAAAACGGTCAATTTCCCTAGGGGTTTTGGTTTCTATTCGAATGCGGATTCGGGTTCGGCAATGGCGATGAGAACTGGGATCTTGAAACTGGGAACTGGAAAGGGGGCAACCATAAAGTTTGCCATCTTTTTGCCGCTCGTTTATGGCCGCTCGTTTCCCGTCTCACTTGGCGCAGTTTTATGGGCATTCATTTAGTATTTAGGTCAGTTTTTCGCCACCCCTTCAGCCTTGTAGTCCCCTCGCCACCCCCCAATTTCTCCATTTTCCTTTTACATAATAATCCAGTCTATGTGTGTGCTGAACAATCAAAGCTCGGACCATGCGGCGTATACGCAACGCGTTTATTTTTAGCAAATTGTTTAACGACGATTTAAGCACAATTGAATTGAAAAATTAGAGGGGACAAGGCATTCTTTGTTCTCTACTTTATTGTCAGGCATTTAAAAATAAATAAATCAAATGATTCAGCTATTGAACGGCTTGCTCTGCAAAATGCCTTTGTCTTTATACTTTATATCGCTCTCATGTTTGTCTTTAGGCGGAAATCAAAATTCTAGGATTTTTGATTTGATTATGCAATCCATGCCAATGCCGTCTGTCAACCGCCAAGGAAAATTCGCTTCTCTCCTCAATATTCATTGCGATTTTTTTTATTTTTGGTTTTTTTTCTGTTGACGGTGGGAATTTTGCAAGCGATTTTTAATGTACGTGACGAAATCTGATTTTGAGTGCACACACACTTGCCGAAATCGCCACACTTTGGCATGAAATAGATATATACAGGGGGAGAAAAATAGTATATTGATATTATACACTGATTTTTGGCAAATAAAATTGAAAAAAATTTTAAAATAAAATGCTGTGAGAAATATACATTGGTTTCTTTTAAATTGAATTACAAAAAAAAATAGTGAACACAATTTTGGGGGTTATCTTTATATTTTTATTTACCATTTTTACAGTGTATATTTTGGTAAATCTGTTAGATATATTTACATTTTGTTTGCAGGGGGGTTCTTTATCATTTAAAATATAGAAGGATTTTCCAGATATTTTGTAAGTGTTTTAAAATTCAAAGCTAACGTCTCAGCTCTTTCTTTCTTCTAAATTTTATCACATTTTTTCCAAGTGCACTCGAAAAAGATATATAAATTGCACACATATGAGCATAGTCATATCTGAAGCCAAATGCAATTTATCAACAGTTGAGCTTAAATTGTCTGCAGCGTAACGGAAACTTGGCGTGGAAGATGTTGCCATATCTTTTGGGGGGCGGGCCGGAAAAGGGGGCGTGGCGGGGGCGTCTGTAGAGCGTAAAGTTCTCTAATAAGTGCAAATTGTTAGCAGTGGCAAAGGCAAAAACAAAAAAACAAACGGCAGGCCGTCAGCGTTTGGCTTTGCATTTTAATTGAATTTGAGTATTTTTTTTTTATATAAGTATATATTTTTGCCCACTCGTTGGCTGGCTGTAAGTAGAAGTATCTGATGGATACGCACACATATAGTCGCAGATCGAACGGGAAGTAGCTGGTCGCCGAGAACGTGGTCGCCTTCAGGGTGATATAATGTAGAAATAAATATAATTAGTATGCATAATACATACGGTTATGGCTCTGGACTCGGTTGGCGAGGGGATGTGGGAAGAAAATGGCTGGAGATCGACTGATATTATTGCATAACAAACAGGGAAATCACTGTTAGAAGGGGAAAACATATGGGAAAAGTTGTGGCAGTGGGACTGTCAGTTGTGCATTAAATAATAATAATATTCTTAGCTCTTGAGTCAATTTAAAATATAATTTTATTTCATTGTTGTAAAGTATTCTTACAACGTTGTATTTAAAAATCCTTTAAAGTACGTTTCTTTTAAACAAATATACTTCATATATATACTGTTTACTGTGAGATATCGGCAATCTGTCAAGGTATAAGGAAAATGAAACCCTCTTATCTGAAATACAAAGACAGTTTAGAAAGCGTTTAGGAATAAACAGTTAAATAACATTCTTCCGTTATCTGGCAGGCGCAGTAGAGTGCCGTTATGTTTCGGCACCTCCATTCACATAACGCTTAGGCGTAAATCCAATCCCATAAGCGTTATCAGGCAAACAAACCCCTATCACAGGCATTTTGTTTTCGGAATTCATTTCACACCCATAAAATAGTCATAAGAAGTAAACAATAGATACACAATATATAATAAGGGAATTGTCAACAAGATATAATAAGGAAAGTAATCTAAATTAGGAAGTTAAGAACTAAATAATAATATATTTAATAAGACCTCTTATTTTTACTTTTTTCATAAGTTACTTATGAGTTATACGTTATTCAGATGGGTTAACGTACGTTATTCAGATGGATTAACGTAGAACTCATAACTAACTTATGAATAAAGTAAAAATAAGAGGTTTCATTAAATACATATATTATTAAATATATTATTAAAAATATTATTAATATAATCAAGTATATTAATAAAATAAATATTTAAAGATTCCTTCAAGAATATATCAGAATAACCTAATAAAATAACATAAATGATATGTTTTAAAATAAATGATATATTTTAAAATATTTTGTCCAATAAAACGGAATAAATATGTATTAAAAATTTTACTTGCTTAAACTTAAAAGGCTTTTACATAACTTACGTCTATAATTTAAATGTAATCGGATGTTGCGACAAATATGGAAAAATGTAAATGAATATCTCGGTTGGGAAATTGGCGAAGTGAAGGGAATCGCGATGAGCTTTTTGCACCGGGCATGTAATCACAAATTTTTTCACCAATTTGTGTAACAATTGCCATTACAACAACAAACGGTTATAGGGCCTCGTACTTAATTTTATTTAGCTACTGTTGTTGTTGCTGCCGCTGCTACTGTCGTTTTGTTGTTGTTGTTGTTGCGCCTTTTAATGTTGCGTAATGTTAGGCTACATAATCGCGTTTTCTGTCTTAACAGCAGCTGCGCGCGTCTTTTTAACATTTCACAGCTCTTTGCACTTAACAGCGAAAGAGTAAATTAGGCGAAAGAGAAACAGTGATTAACATGCTAAGGGGAAAATTCAACAGAAATCTGAACTGTTAATTTGCCATAAATACTCTTAAGTTCTCTTAGGATGTTGCAATGAGGCATGTTGCTGGCGGCCTGGCAACATTGCCTACAAGTGGCCTACGTGACGTAGCGGGGGTGATCAAAATGTGTGGCAGAGGGGGTGGCAAAGGGGGTGGTTAGGGGCGGCCTGGGAAATACATGACCTAGGCACTGCAATGACTTTCTATTCTAGGTGTTTCGCGCCCTGCCGTTGCTGCTTACCTTGATTTCACTTTCACATTGCATTTACCGATGGTCGCATTTCGCTTTTTTAGGAAGTTATTATAAATAAATAACACTATTTCCAAGGGTTTTCACAAATAATATATCTTTCAGAAAAAAAGATTATTTTAAAGAGAATATTCAACCACTGCTATCATTTTAATAATTTATTTATTATTTTATTTATTATATTATTAATTTTATATTATTTATTTATATTTATATGGTCAAGAGAAATTATAAGAAAAGAAAAGAAGAAGAAAAGCATTTTTTAACTTATTAAATGAACTTTAAGAATGTTCCAATATATTTTTTTAACTATTATTTTTGGCAGTATTATTTCTTGTTCTTTCTCCATCTAAAAAAATTTGAAAAATTTATATAACAATGGCTTTGAAGAAAATAAATTTAGTCAGGACACATTTATATTACTTACTTTGTTGCAATAATAACTTTTAAAAACGGTGCTCTGTAATCATTAATTAACCTTATCACTCGGCCAATGACTCAATAAAATCTAGGAATGCCAAGTATTGCAAATGATTTTAAATATTATGAATTTTTTAACGCAGAGTTATTGCAGATAGCTAAAATCTTTAAAAAAATGGAACAATAGAAACACTCTATATATGCTTAATGTTTCATTAAATTAGCATATAATATTTTTATAAATGTACCCAATTAGTTTGAACGTTAAGTGGCTATTCTGTTAGCAGCTGTCAAAATAAACACCCGCATCCCTTTTTTAATAGACACTTTAAGAAAATTCACAGAAGGGGAAAATTCTAATTTACGAATGTTCGCGCGTGTTGAACATTTGCCCAATCCCAACCAGATATTTTCTGTTTACACGTCTATATCGTTACATTTTAGATCTAGAGTATTGGCGGACGTAATTGCCTTGGCTGCACGCCGAAAAATATCCATACTGCCAAGTTTTGACATTTTATTTAAGTCGGAAGATGACATTCATTGAGGGATTTTCTTGATTTACTCCGCTCATTTGTCGCCGTAAAAACTAACTAAAATGTTTTTAATTTCTTTAATATTTTCTAGCGCCCGCAAATTTCAAGAGTCTCTGCCTGCGAGCCGAAGTTCTCCTAAAATTGAGCCATTTTCAAAGTTCTCTAGCAGACATCGAGAACGCCTTGAGAACGCGCTGCACTTCACCCAAAGTGAGTTTTATAGTTTATCAACCAAAAATAAATTGTATCTAAATTGTATTTGATTTTTCAGGCCCACTATCTGAGGGCTTTGGCTTTGAGCGGTCTTGGCCGATTGGAGGAGGCTTTGTACAATGGCTTTTTGGCCATTTGCCTCGATAAGAAAACAAATCTCAGCAACTCGGAAATATTTCAACATGATCTCGCCAAGGTAAGCAAAGCTAATAAATCAAAATGCAATGCATTTACGACAAATGTTTGTTCAAATATTTGAACGTCTTAATCTGGTTACTTTTCCTTTAGAGGTCTAGGCATCATTAAATTACTTATGGGAAACAGAAATTCAAATTAAAAAATTAATAGCCAAATAAACTTAATTAATAATCTTAAAAATGGCATTAAATACTATTTTTAAAGCTTGGTGCTATTATATACCTCCTTTCTTAAATAATGATTCAGACATAATCACTTTATTCTTGTAAATATTCTGTGCAAAATCTTGAATAACTGCCATACTTTTGTTGATGAATTTGGTATTAATTTAAATTAAAAAGAAATATTTATTTACAAATGTATATTTTATATTCTCTATTATAACCTGTTGAAAATGGCAAAATATACTTACTTACATATACTTTTCCCACAGATTCTCCAACGTCTCCTGGCCCAAATGCCGAAGAATCGTTCCTCGATCAGTGGCGCCACGCCCCCTGTTTTCCAGCAGCAGCACCGCAGTTTTGCCACCTCCCGAGCCCCTTATCCCCTCCTTTGGGAGCAGGTGCGCCGGCGCAGGAAACAGCAGCACCACCACCCCCACCACCATCATCACCACCACCACCATGTCCACCTGGACGACGTGGAGGATGAGTTCGGTCACTATGATAACTACATAATGGCCGGCGATGACATGGAGGAGGAGGTGGAGGTCGAGGTAGACGGCGGGGAGCCGGGTTCCCTGCATCTGGACGGAGACTTCCTGTTCCCCAGCGCCCTGGACTTCATGGACCACCATCGCCACCAGCGGCACGTCTTCGAGCAGAAACAGTTCGACCTGCAGCCGCGTCGCCATGCCAACCGGAAGCACTGCAAGCGGAAATGGTCGGCGGTGGTGGATCCGCTGGGCGGCAAGGTCGTCGAGGAGGAGGATGTGGACCAGGCGGAGGCCGCTGGCGACAGTCAGCGGTGCAGTCGGCTGTTCGCCGGCGTTCTGGAGCGGACGCAGCAGGAGCTGCAGCGACTGAGAAGTGAGTTTTTTGGACAAGGAAAAGAGAATCAAAATGGGTATCTGGAATTCAGATTTATTAAGAAAATTAATGGCAATAATTCTAATAATTATAAATGAAATAAAATTCAAAGCTTAAATAAATAGAATATTGGCTAGAACTTTAAAACCAGTTTTGGAGATGTATTAGGTAGTCCTTGATGTAAAGCAGTATAAAGCCATGTTCAGATCATAAAGTTATCCAAAATAAAAAATCCAGCTCTAGGAAAAGGCTTTTAAAAATGGTATAATTTTAGGGAAAATACTTGCACGTAAACCTAGTTTTAAAATCATAACTCTTCGTTGCACTCTCTCTTATAAAAATCAAATTTAAAATACCATAGTCACTCTTTTGGGTTTATTTTGAAAATATCTTCTTTGCCAAACATTTACTAATAGAAATCTTAAATTTAATACAAATTATATTTTAAATAACTTAGATAATTTTTTAAATCGATGTTTTTCACTAAAAATATTTTATAAATATTTAAGTCGAGCTTTGGAGATATTCAAAAAAGTTTTTAATGTAGTTAAATCAATAGAAAGCTGCGTTCAGATCATAAATATTTTTTTAAAAATTCTTAAATGCTATTTAAGGCAATAAAATTGTTATACAAGTAATTCCATTTATATATGGTTTTTTAAAACAAATTTTTACATAAGAATATGATTAACCCGGTTTTTGGTTTTAAAATTCTCTTAAAAATACCTCCTCTGCCAACATTTACTTATCAAACTCCTTCCTTCCAGAGCTGGACGGATCGGCTCCATCGCTGGCGGTGAGCTCGGTGGCCGGGCAGCTGATCGACGCCAGCGACTTCGACTGCGTGGTGTGCAGCCGGACCCTCTGGAAGCCGGTGGTGACCCCCTGCGGACACACGTACTGCCTGGTATGCTTGGATCGTTGCATGGATTACAACTCCCCGTGTCCATTGTGCATGTCGCCACTTGTGGAGTTCAATGTCAATGCCAGTTCGAGTGCCAGTTCGAGTGCCAGTCAGAATCCGAACCAGAATCCGAATCCAAATCAGAACCACCTGCATCCGGGCTCATCCTCGCCAGTTCCTTTCGCGCTGGCCAAGCGGCCAGTGACGAAGTTCCTAGAAGCCGCAATGAAACGATTCATTCCAGACCACTACGAGGCGCGTTTCCGTCAGGAGATCGACCAAGAGCCCTCGGTGCCGGTGTTCATTTGCACGGCGGCCTTCCCAGCGGTCCCGTGTCCGCTCTTTGTGTGCGAACCTCGTTACCGCCTGATGGTCCGACGGGCTGTGGAATCCGGAGACAAGACCTTTGGAATTGTGCAGCCAAATGGCGGGAAATCCCGCTACTATGATGTGGGCACCATACTGGACATCCGGGACTGCGTCCAACTGGGCGATGGCTGCTCCATCCTGAGTACGATTGGCTGCAAACGCTTCAAGATCCTGGCGCGCAACGAGAAGGATGGCTATGAGACGGCCAAGGTGGAGTACATTTGCGACGAGCCCATTGCCGACGAGCAGGTGAAGATCCTGGCTGGCATGCAGGGTGTGGTTTTGGCCAAGGCCAGCGGCTGGTTCGAGAGCCTGAGCACGGAGCAGAAGCACGAGATCCTGCAGAGCTATGGCCAGATGCCGCCACTGGAACCCAACTGGGAGCTGATCAGCGATGGACCGGCGTGGGCATGGTGGGTCATAGCCCTGCTGCCCCTCTCCCAGCAGCTGAAGGTGGGTTAGATAGTTTTTAGTACTTTTGGAAACTTATTAACAATAAATTACCTATCTTAGGTGGACATCCTGGCCACCACCTCGCTGGAGAAGCGGCTGCGCGCCATCGACAAGACGCTGGACTGGCTGCACGACCTGAGCCACCCACAGCAGCCCACGCACCACCCGCTGAACCACCACCCACAGGCACCACAGTCGCCGCAGCAGGCCCATCATCTAGATCTCGACTGCGAGGAGCAGGAGGCCGCCTCTTCCGGTGCGGATGAGTGCTGCCTCTTTGCGGAAACCGGAAACGAGCCGCACACGGATGAGGAGCTGCTCCTCTAAAGACGTTCCTCCTATGAGTAAACCGAAACAAAAAGAGAGAAATTAAAAGTCAGATACACATCCGCGTGAAGATAAAACACACACACACTTTTCTATGTAAATTCTGTGTCTAAGCCATTTCGTTTCGTAATCGAACGTTACATGTTAATCCTAGGGGCCAAAACCGAAAGCGAAGCAACTTTAGCAGAACCAAAATTATCACTAGATCAGCAACATAATCTTTAGCTCTAGCCTAAAACTTTGTGTGTGTAATGTATAGTAAATGTATATTGTGTGTGTAAAAAAACAACTAGAGAGCAAACCAGAGATATTTGTTTAGAAGAAAATGTACCCAAAACAATCAAAAACTTGCTTTTGGCTCAAGCCCTTACCCAAAATACCCATAAATGCTAACTTTATTTCCCTCGATCGATACAACCACATTCCACAAATCTAGAAAACACGTTTGCCATAGCAAAAGGAGCAAATGAAAGGAAATAAGCCAGAATAGATAAAATGATAAACTCTAACAAACAAAACTCATGGTTTCTACAAACAAGATACACAAATTTTTGAACATAAAACAATTTTAAAATTACTAATAAAATACCAAGTCAAAGGCCAACAAACATACACCTAGAGAACAAAAACAAAATGCAAATCAATCGGATGGGAAAGAGCCAAGGAAACAAACTCTTAAAAAAAGTTCAACTTCTTTTCGTTTACTTTGTATAAGGCGGCTGGAACTCTAAGACAATCTGCAATATTTTTTTGATATACCTAAACGAAACTAAAAACTATATATACAAGAAGTAATTAGATGAAAACTGAACTAGAAACTAGTTATGAAGGAAGTGAATGGGAGAACCAATGTGTAAAGAAATTTCAAATTGCCTTTTTGTTGATTACAACCCCTTCACTACGAACTCACTCTAACCTCTGACCCCTCTCTATAACACCCTACTCTCTCTTGATTATGCCTAGGCTAACTAAATGATATGCTCACCTATATATACCTAAATATACAACGCTATATGCTTAATGCTTGTTTCTGTATTCGTATCTGTATCTTCAGCCCGCATTCCTATTGAAGAGATAACTTTGATATAACTCTGAAAACGTTAGCTAGATCTTCTTTGTCTTTGATTTCTACTTCTATTTCTAAGCCTCACGCTCATTTTGTTTATTCTTTTCTAATCTTTCGAGCTCTCCCTATAAAGCAAATCAATTTTAGAAACAACAATTTGCTTTATCAGTCGGCACATCTTTATCTTTGTAAATATCTTTTATCGCATAATCCTTAAATTATATGTATATCTTCTACGTTAGCTATAGAACACGAATTTAATTTTCAGCTCAACACAAAATAAACAAGTAAATCAACAATTTTTGTCAACTAAATATTTATGTAATTTTATACAAAATATACACATACGTCTAAATTAAATCATTTTGTATTTAAGTTTAGCAACTAAACACAAACCAACCCAAAATTTGACATCATTTTTTGTGTCTACTTTATATGGAGAAGTTATAATGTAAATCAATATGAAAATATAATTGAAATTTCTTAAATTCTTAAGAACAAAATCAGCAACATTTTTTCTCTGCGTTTTTTTGTGCTAAACATTTTTTACTTGTACTTCTTAATTTAATAATGATGTAAAATAAAGAGGAAAACAATTGAAATATAAAATAAATGTGAAACATAATTATTGTATTTCTTTTTGGGAATGGACGATATAAGATTTGGTTTTTCAAAGACTCTAAATCGATTTCTGCTCAAATGCAGTTTCAGGTTGATCCAAAAATACAACTGACTACTCCACTGGGTCGCTGAAGAAACACATATATATCCTGTGTGTTGCATAAACCTATAAAACTTTCAAATCAAATCGAGAAAACTTGTAAATTGCAAATCACGCGCTGAAATGTTACGTAAGCATCTAATAAATACGAATTTCTAGTGCTAGCGGTTCGCGATTAGGCAACTAAGGAATAAGAATTGGAATTATAAGTTTATATGCTGCATTTTCAAAAAGTGAGGTCGTAGTGCTCAATTCGGAGTTGAATTCTTTTCGAAACGATCTGGGAGAGTTGAGAAGACGGAGGACCAAATAGGTGAGAAAGGTAAGGCCAGATCAGACTTGACCACACTAAACTTTCTTTATACTTATGAAATATTCATAGAAATTTGCCTACGCATTGAAAGGAAAACGAAAAAGTGGCCCTGAGCATTTGAAATTTAAAAAAGAAAACGAGCTAGTGCTCTAGGATTTTATTTTCATTTTTTTTATGTTAAAAGCTTTTTAAAATATAATTAAAATTGTTTTTATTCGTTTGATTAAGATTACATTACAAATTTAGTGTAACTTTGGTATTCTTTAACTAGAATTTATGAAATCTAGTCTATTTATTGACGAGTTAATTTTTTTAGAATAGAAAATAATATATAATCCTTGCTTAAACTTTTATAAAACACAAATCAAACATTTTAAATGATCTCAGGTTTGAAACTATTAATAAATGAGTTGCTTAGCATTTAAAATCGTTATACACCAAGTATTTTGGAAAAGATCAAACTATTTTTGATCAGTTAACAAAGTCGCTTACTTTTTGGAAATTAATTTGAAAGTAAAGAAAATAAACGTGATAATATTCTGTTTAATTAATCAATAAGCTTAGGGAATATTTAAAATTTAGAATAAGATATTTACAATTTTCTTTTTGAATACATTCCCCTATAAAATTGATAATAACAAGGATCTGAAAACAAGTCTATTGGCTTGTATAAGTTAAAGTTTACCTTCTTTATGTTTATGGGAAGGCCCTTCGCCCTCGCCATAGCACAAACCTATGCCAACCAATGGTAAAAACCTCCCCCTGGGTCAGACCTTGAACTTAAATCGCAGACCAACAGAACCCGCTGACTCACCCCCTGGGCGGCCAGAAGAGAGACCCTTATATCTGTAATCTCCAGACGAATTACCAGAAACACGCGGAATATGGACAACAAACAAAAAGGTTGAAAGAACACTACAGAGACCTATGATACTATCCGATGTGAGAGCGACCTACTCAGAGAAGGCGCCTGTGTGTGCTGATAGTTTGATAGAGTGGTAGATAAAGACTCGACTCAGGCCCGCGATCGGTGCAATTGAGTGATACGTGGGGTTCTGAGTGGAGAGTACGTATTAAATAACAGCCGAGTGGCCGGGCTCAATCAGTCAGTCAGTCAGGTAGCGCTCGGAATGCTTGCACACATCGCGTATACGCCCCGACCGGCAAAAGGCATCGAAACCGACTTGTAGACCCACTCTCTCTCGCAACCGATACCATCGCACTATCTTTGTATCTGTGAGAACGTTTCGATGCATTTCGCGGTTTTTCGTTTATCCACGGGCTTTTTGCGTCTGTAGTTTTTCGCGAGCTTAGAATTTTCAGTTCTCGTGCATTTATTCAGTTTGAGTCCAGCACGCGCAGCGTCAACGAGCGGATCTCTCTCTTTTTTTTACCGAATCGGGTTTTCGATTTACTCGTATTTTCTCCCGGTTTTTTGAGCGTGCAGTTTTTTATATTACAAGTATTTAGCCGATCCAAAGCAAAGTCAAGCCGTCTGTCGTCGATATTGTCTCTGACTGTAACCCGATCGCAAATTACACACTTTTTGCTTGTTGGATTCTGTTTCGGTTTTTGGTTTGGTTTGGATTTCGATTTTTGTTTGTCACTGCCTCCTTCGCGCGTTTCCAGAATTTCAGCTTTATTTTTAGTGCTGATAGTGCCCTAAAAATAAAACATTTTCTTACCTTTCAACACAACAATGAATTAAGACGTCCGCAGAAAATACCAAAATGTTTTATTTTTGTTATTGGATATCTGTTTTTTTTGTATGTGCATATATGTCACCAAGTGCAAGCCGGTGAGAAGTACAAAAAAATGAGCAAAGCAGAACGGGAAAAGTTATTATGTAACCTTTCAAAATGTTTTGCACACACGCTTTATAATAACAAGAAAAAGTGAAAAAATTCTTCAAGAATTAAAGTGCAAAACTGGAGGAAAAACAAATAGATAGGCCGCCGAACAGGAATATATGGATGGAGATAAATAATATAAATAATTCTGGGCGTTTTTTATAAGCCAATTAAAAGAGTGTAGTTATAAATAAATGTGACTGATGTTGTAATAAAATAGAAATGCGGCATAGAAGTGTTTAAAAAGCGTAGTAAAATGATCTGTAAAGAAAATCCAAAGTCCCAACGATCGCATAAAAATAAAATTTCCATTCAATAATGTCTGTAAGCTCAAATCAAGGAAATAGTTCGTTTAAAGCACCTGAATACATTAACTAATTTTACTTCTAATTACCAAGAGCCGAAAGCTTGAACCTTTTAAATCAGCTGCGACCAAATTGTGAAGTATGCCCCATAAAAATAAAGTGAAACAAAAGAAAAGTGCATTTGGAAAAACATCCGCAGTGACAAAAATACTATTAGAAATATGCGGCACCGAAAAGATAAGGCAAAAACCAAGGCAAAGATACGGGAAAAACGAGAAGATAGATTTCTCGCGAAACACCAAAGTGCATTCAACCAAAAGCTACAAACAAATTATATGGTCGCGAGTATTTTCTCCAAACTTATAATTCAGTTTAGTAAGGCTTTGACTAAGTGATACCCCAAATATATATATTATATATAATATGTTATTATAAAATTTAAATATATAAGAAAAGGTATCTTTAGGGTGGATTGTTTATTGCATTTGTGTTGTAGCATTTTTCAATTGTCAATGTCGGTATATAGTGTTTGCATTAGCTATTATCAGGTTATAGAACAATTATATCTTATACGACCTTAGGGGCGGTTCATTTTATAGAAAAGATAAATCTGTTGATCGTATAACTTTTATTGTTAGGAAAAGCTACCTTTAATGCAAAATCCGATTTTAAGAAATTCCCTGAAAATTATTAGAGGTTTTATATTAAAACTAGTACACCTCAGACCTTTTTTTTCTCAACATGTGTAATGTTAGTGTAAAGAAAACCACAACCTTTTCAGAGTATTTTTACACCTGTTTAACTTAAACAATAAAATTATTTTAAATATATAGTTGGATTTACCGCCAAAACCCATAGAAATCTACAAAGATTTGTATATTAGCTTAGATTTCCTCGAAAGAATTTTCATAATCGCAACTAGCTAGGTATTTCCCCAGTCGCTTTTTCAACCCTACCCTTTTCCATTTGTTTTATTTAAATTTTTTTGTATTTTTCATTGTTGACTGACAAGTCTCGGGTCTCGGATCTGGC